CGCACGATGCCTAGGCGAATGTACAGTGTACTAATTCCGTAGTATTCGTGAGTATTCTAGAATTCTAGTATTATAGAATGTTGTATTCTAGGGCTGTAAATAACGAATTTCCGTTGTTTATTGAAGTCACACTCCTTCCCTATTATCTACTTCTGATATATATATAATATATATATATATATATATATATAATATATTATATGCGTGCGTGCGCGCGCCCGTGAGTGTGTGTTGTGGTGTGTCTGTGTATGTATGCGTGCGCGTGCCGCGCGCGCGCGTGTGTGTGTGCGTTGTGTGTGCGTGCGTGTGTGTGTGTGTGTGTGCGTGCGGCGTGCGTGCGTGCTGTGTGTGTGGTGTGTGTGTGTGTGTGTGTGTGTGTGTGTGTGTGTGTGTGTGTGTGTGGCTGTGTCTGTGTATGTATGCGTGCGCGTGCGCGTGTGTGTGCGCGTGTTTGCGGGCGCGCGTGTGTGTGTATGTGTGTGTGTATGCGTGCGCTCGTCTGCGTGCGCGAGTGCGTGTCTGCGTGCGCGAGTGCGTGTGTGTATATTAAATCTCGCTTATACACATATTAAAGTATGTATACATATTACATATATTATAGGTAAAAGCATTACGATATTGTGAGATGTTTCTCTCGATGTTATCTTCTAACGTCGCGCATGCGCACTACCTCTAAATCCTTCCAGTGCCTATCTCCGTTTCTGTAACCCTGAGGCCCCGCAGCTGCTTTCACAGTAAATGCTACAGTAGGAGGTTAGTCCACTGTAGCACTGCGAGATAACTTGCCACACTCTATGTCTATTTGCTGAATGCTAAGCAGAGAAGCCGTGTGTACCATTTTTCAAGTCTTTGGTATGACCCGGTCGGGAGTTGATCCCCCGACCTTTCACATACGAGGCGAGCACTCAACCATTGAGCCATCGCAGTGGTGGCACTACCACTAACGGTGACGTAATTGTCCAGCGCACGTATCGCGCATGCGTAGAGAGGAGTTCATTAGGCTTCTTTTCTTTTCTCTTAAAACGTATACTCATAGGCTTAGAAAAAAACGTAATATGTCATTAGCGCACGCGATGGCTCTGTAACAGGCTTATTGGAAATAGTTAGCGTCTCGTCGGCGCCAAAGTCCCCGGCACGCGAAACTCGAATTACACCGCGCAACCGAATTCCTTGCGCGGCTAATAGTGTAGGTCGTTGTGTTATTTAGAGAACGATTTATATAAAATCTGGAAACTTGTGATTTTTTACTTTCTATGGTCACACTGAACACAAAGCAACCTGTTTCTATTTTTTTAAATACGTCTACTGGCAAAATTCAAGATGGCGGCCAGCATATACCGAAAAAGCAATAAATCGTTATATTTAAACTAATTTATTCAATATATGCACAATGATAAGCTTATTATGGACATGCACTACGTTATTAGTCATTACAGCCGCTGTCATCCTCATCCTCGTCCTCATCATCACTGTCTGTCTCCTGATTTGCAACATTAGTGCATGATCCGTCAGCACCTTCACACTTGCAAAGCTCTGTGCATGCCAGATTATTGGTCTTGCAAGAACACCGTCCACTGCATTTGCTGGCAATACATGAACACATCACGACGTCCACGACAGCCTCTGGTGCTGGTGGAACTTTCGACGTCACAGGAACACAACGTCCGTCTTCTAGTTGTTTCCATCCCAAAGATAATGGATCTAGAACATTTGGAACAGCTACTGTGTCCTGCGCCCAAATGTTAGCTTGAAAGTGTGCTCGCAGAATGTGTTCAGTTATGGATCCTTGAGTTGGAAGTAGTTACTCTACACCCTGGTTGCCATTGAGTTGCTTGAACATATGCCACCGGTACGGTGCTACGGAGTGCTTTAGCTGATTCATAACCAGGTTTGAAGAGTTGATACACGAACTTTTCACAACCAGCCAACATCTCCGGAGATGGGTACACACCAACACCAAGCCCATCTAGTGCATGGATTACGTCATCACTAGCCTTCATAAAGAATTTGAAGAAAGTAGGCTTTGCCTTTCCCTGGATCTGGTATCACAACCAGTGAGCGCGTGGAATCCTGGCAAAGCTGCTGCACGTTCTGGGCCAATGGCCATGTAGATAGGCTTGAGTTTTATCTTCCGTCGTCGATCTCCAGCGCCCATGATGATGATGCTCTCTGTGCTGAGGTTTGGCACCCTGCGTAGAGCGAGCACCAACACATCTGTGTCAGAGGAGTATATATGTGGTGTCTTACCCAAACTACTCACTGCTACTGCATACATGACCAGTAACATGTCGGCTTCCTCCTGTGTACTTGTGATGTTCACCATGTTTGGTTGGGAAGACATAACACCTTTGTGTGTGTGGGTAGTGATCGGCAGTTTGCACAGCTGGACAGCTTTTTGTTTAAGGTATAGCACGAGGTTAGCTTTGGTTTCCTTGGTTCCCAGGAATGCCTTAAAGTCTTTGATAGGTGTGGAATCTTCTATTTTGTATCCCTTGTATTGTGCTGTTCCTGCTGTTCGGAGCTGTCTTGTTCTGGCTTTCATGGAGTTTGTAACAGTGCAGTTTTCAAATAATACATATATGCCATTGTAGCTTCGCGACTTGTTGTCAACACTTCGAATGAAACATTCTGACAGGTGTCGGCAACACTTTATATTATCCTTCCAAACAACCATCTCCTGCACGAGAGCCATGCCATCTATTATGATGCTGGTCAAGACATGTGCTGATTGACTAGGGATGGTCGGCTCTTCTATGGATTCTTCAGAAGTTTATGTCCCCGAAACCACTCCTTCCAGTTCATGAATGAGGGTTGACTTGCTTGTAGTGGGTAGCAGAGAACCATCGGGCCTCATTAGACTAGCATTGTAATGGGCAAATTCATGTGTTCCCACCATTTCCTGCAGGTCCAGTTCTCTTGAGGACTTTGCAACGAGGAGCAACCGAACGAACGTTGGTTGCTTTCAAGCTGACTACTGCGGAGGATGCCTTCAGGTTGATACTTTTACATCCATCTTTCCAAGTCAGATACATGAGCTTCGACATTTTGTCCCACATGTTCTTGTCTCCGTTGACCCTCTCATCAACATATGTTGCAAGTGCCGTGCTTCCACGTACCTCTAAGTCCAAAACGCTACGCTGCACTGCCGTTGGCATTATCCGCTTGGTGATGAAGTTGACCAACTTCATTTCAGATCCATCATCATGTTCTGGTGCACTGAAGGGGTTTGCACTGCCTATCACATCATTGAGTTGTCTCACAGCCTTTTACTGTCGTGCAGTTTTAGATGCTGAGTGTTGGTGATGCTTCTTTGGGATCGAATCTGATATGTTCAGCATACGCTCGGTTTCTCCAGCCAGCCTTGCCAGTTCTGGAGAGCTGAGGCAATATTTGAGACCCTGGGGATCGGTTGTTAAGCCAGAAATGGCACCTTCACCTTTGTGGATCTTGTTCACATGTTCCTGTGCGTGATCGGATTCAATGGATGTGAACGACAAAGTCACCACTCTTGAGGTCTTGCCATATCGAGGGATGGCTGCTTTCCAGGTGATACATGTGTGCGATGTAGTCTGGGATGTTCTGTGCATAGTCACGCCTGTTATATGCGAAAAGGTAGATGCACATCTTTTCCAATGAGGCGACGTACAAGAGCCAGTTATGATCGCGGGTACCTCGAATGAACTGGAGTAGGTTGCTGACCTGTCTCATATTCATACGAGCCCACTTGTGCATATGGTACTTCTCATTATCGTGGTCTAATGCTTCTAGAGTGTCCACCAACATCAGATCCGACGCCAAGTTTAACAATTCACGATGAGCTTGAGCTATATCCAGACAATTTTGAAGTGATGTTCTCACATCTTCTAGTGAAGACGTCAGTTTGTTGAATAGCACTGGATGTTGTTTGCAGAATGCCTCGATCCACAAGTCAAATAGAACTTGCAGAGTGATCTGGTGAGCATCCAGATAAGGTTCTGTTGTGGTGCTTTCCATTCAGTATTTGTACTACAGTGACGCTACTGTACAGGCCGGCTTCAATCCATGCTTCATCTGGACCGCTGCTCTCAAGAGTCGCTCCAAGACACCGTAAGGCACAGATAGTTATCTGTGCCTTACATGGAAAGGACCGGGATTTGGGATAATGTTGGCTTGTAACTGTAGATCCAGGAAGCTCAGTTTTAGAACTCTTTTATACAAGTCCGTATCTAACCAGACAAGTATTGGCTCATTGTCCTGATTGTCTCGGGCCAGCAGTTTGTTGAGATTAGAGAGCTGAGTCAGGGCTGTGGTAAGGGTCGTCCACTCATGGGCTGGTGCATTTATGATGGGCAGTGCATGCACTTTGTCCAGTTTGATAGATTCACTGTTGGATGCTGACGTACGCAGAAGTGAATTATATGCTGTCCAGACAGGGACAGGTTGGTGTCGCACATGAATCACTTCACCAACTCGAGAGCTGTCGTCGGGTTCAGCTAGCTCAATAACCCCAGAGGTATATATAATATCTAATATAATATCCATATATATAATATCCAGAGGTCCCGCTTCAGATGCCATTATTTACCTGAAAAACAAATATACATATAGTAAAAAATCACAAGTTTCCAGACTCTATGAACCGTTCACTACACAACGACCTTATATACCTCATATTGGATGATTATTCACTTTATGCTTTGTGTTATTGGTGATATAAGTACTTCAATGAATCCAGTGACCAAAAAACCCTATAAAACGATATACTGGGCAACTGTATCCGTTACAAAATCCAAAATAGTTGGCGATAAAGCGATTATTGTGTTAAATGGCCGCCATCTTGGATTTAGTGAGTATACATGCTGGAAAAAATTGGAAACAGGTGGTTTTCAGTCCTATGTGATCTAAAGAAGTCAATAAGTACCAGTTTCAAGATTCTATATGAAACGTTCACTCCTCTGTTAATTGCAACATAACCGCATACACTACAGCGAAGAAAAATTAAAAACAACGTAAAACAAGTATTCAGCAAATATATAGTTTTACAAGATTTTATTTCGTCGTAGACCTTATGCGTTAAAAACAAATTTTGTTTAAAAATAAGAGATCAACGACTCAGTACGCGTACAGCTAAAACAAAGTACTTTACCAGCGGAATTTACATACATTCCACTCTTACACATAGAATAAAAAGTCACACTAAAAATAGCTTAAAAGTCTTAGTGAAATGCTGCATTGCCTTAGTGTTAGGTCTATGAACTAGAAAGTTATAATTGACCTCGTATATAGTATACGTAGATTGCTCGTTATACTTACACCCACGCGCGCGCAGGCACGCATGCACGCACGCACACACCTACAATAAAGCGGTCTAGCTGGTCGTATGGGAATACGTCCTCATAGGTTTACCAGTGTAGCCTCTTCGCTCCCTGTAGTGGGTATCCAGCATAGGGCGGAGCCGGCGTACGTACGCACACCCCGTTTGCAGGCCCAGAAAAAATAATCAATAAAACTTTAAACAAAGCTTTTTAGTAGCAGTGTGTCTTCAGGGGTAACGACAGACTGAACGTCCTCCTGCTTCTGTTGCTCCACAAGGACCTCCCTTTGCAAATGGATAAGGTTGTCAACATCTTCATCCGAAGGAAGCCTTAAAGGTTGCTATTGGGAAACCCCATGGGTGACGCTTAAGGTCCCGAACACACAATAATGACCTGAACATCTCAGTGGCAATTATTAGTAAGCTTAATTGTCACACTGGCTTCTCACCCTGACCTGTGTACCAATTGGAGCTAATCATCAACATGATCAAGTGTGTTTCCTTTTTAGTGCCATGATTAAACATGTTAAAGGATTTATCAAGTTATATTGTGTTACAATCCTTACCTGTGTTTTAATACCTGTATTATTACTATAGTAACCTAACCTCAGGTGTGTGTAGTAGCAGTGTTTTAAATCCTAAATTGTAGGGTTGGGTCTAGGGTTAAGATAGTGTCATCAGACATTAGAATATGGCTCCCAGTATGCCTCAGATTGCTGGAAAATGGCTTAAATATTTCAGAATTGCGGGGGGAGCATGCCCCCACCCCCTAGTGCTGGCGTGCCTAAGGCGTGCGGGGCCACTTGCGGCAGCCCAGGTAAGTTTAGCACCCCTGTTCATCAATTTCTGGATACGCCACTGAAGGGATTACACAGGTAGAGCTATGTGGCTAGTCCCTTATATATTATACACACATGCAGGCACGCCCGCACCCACGCACGCACGCACTAAATGTCCTCATCTTCCACGTATTCAACTACGTCTTGCGTCTTTCTCCGATTGGCAGCCCTTCTGCCGAAAACGATTGGCCAAAGCGAAATTATAAGTTCCACTATTGCTATCACGATGTAGCCAATGTTGAGTACCTTAACATAGTACATGCTCTGGCAGTGGTAGATATCCATAATAGACGTGCTATAGTATACCGCACATTCACTGCTGGTGTTCACTGTGATACAAGAGAGAATAAGAAGCAGCAGTGCAGCAAGGGCAGAGAGAACACACGCGACAAGAAACACCTGCACTCTTTTAAAGCTAATCTCCCAAGCGATTATTATCCCCGCAAAACCGGACATGAGAAATACACACCCACAAACTACACCTTTCCAAAGAACACCTGAACCTGATTTGCGCGTACTACTAATGACAAAGATGGCTATGTAGATTGAGACAGTTGCGATTGCAAATGCGAAATGTGCAAGTGTCAACAACCAGCATGTCTTTCTAGACAGAATGATGACTGGTTTCTGATGATAGACCACCCGAGTCGCTGTCGTGGCCGTTGTCATGCCGTCATCATCGAATGATATGCTGGGAGAGAATGACTTGTCATTGAGATTCTCCCGCGCCCATCTTCTTCTCGCCTCTTCATCGTCATCCACTTCTTCGTTGTGTAGCTTGTTGCTGTTGGCGTCAGGGGGCTGCAACGGTGATGTAGGAGGAAGGTCCTCTATTTCGTCATCGGAATCATTCTTCGTCACATCGTCACAATTCCGTGGTGCAGGATCCATACTGAATCAAAGAGGATATATTATGCTTGCATAATATCCATAAGCCGCTATAGCAGTTACCTATAGGGTTTATACATGTGGTTGGTGTATGCTGATCAACGTATCCACCACTAGTGGGGCAGATATGTAAAAGAATTGTGGGTTTCGGGGAAAAAACATCAAAATTGGCATACATGATGTTGAGGGTATACTAAATGATTTCAGATATAGTGCCAAGCTGATTTTTTTCCGTAACGCCCGTAACAATGGAATATCCAAGATGGCCACCACGCGATTCTAAATATCTATTAATTTTCTATTTTTGTAAATATTTAACATGACAACACAAATAAAGTGTTTTTTTATGTTTGTTGATATGCAGAATCCAATGGTGTCATTATTTAAGGGAAAATGCATATATTTGAAGATAGGGAACGTGTCAAAGATATAAGTTAAGGTGGCTTGTAAATATCTACCAAAAGTTACATATTCTCCTACTATTTAAAAACATAAAAACACAAAACCAAATTCTAAATTGTATTCAAACTTGTATATTTTTTTGGAAACAGGAATCAATGACAGCATCACCTCTTCACGCAAAAACGCATAGAAAGCACAATTATAACTCTCAATTATCAAATCAAGTTCAATAAGCCAGTTCGTCATTACAGTCTGCGCATGCGCGAACTTTGCCACGAATTCTTCCGGGTTAGGTGATTTGTGAAAAATATTTCGTATTTCGACCGCATAGTATACATGGGCATGCATCTATGTCGTTGTAATGCTACAGTCTTCGCGTGTGTCCGTACACGTGCGTGCGTGTGCACGTGCACGTTCGTTCGTTCGTGTGTGCGTGTGCACGTACACGTGCGTGTGTGCGTGCGTGCGTGCGCACGTACAAATGCGTGCGTGTGCACGTAAGTGCGTGTGTACGTACACGTGCGCGCGTGCGTGTGCACGTACACGTGCGTGCGTGCGTGTGCACGTACACGTGTGTGCGTGCGTGCGTGCGCACGTACACGTGCGTGCGTGCGTGTGAATGCACACATGCGTGCGAATGCACGTGTGTGTGCGTGCGTGGGTGTGCACGTGTGCGTGCGTGAGTGTGCACGTATACGTACGTGCGTGTGCACGTACACATGCGTGCGTGTACACGTACACAGAATACATGAGCAGAGAACAGTGCCTTGGGCAATGAACTTGTACAATGCCTGAACTATTCCTGCCAACCACCATGGCCGACGGCGTTGCATTGTGGGTAATTTGAAAATTCGCGGAACTCTATACGTACTGAGCCGAGAGCGCACGCCACTCGAGATTTCATCGATTGTTACAAACGACCCGGTGACCTGTGGCGTCACACAACCAACCCATTGGCTAACTACGAACTGGCGTATTGACAAATTGCTCTAGTTTTTAGTGATATTATTGCTCTCCATGAGGAATTCCATTCCTCTCATTTCTCCTATTCATCTCCTTTACTTGCGCATGTCTGTACGGAAAAGGTGCACACTTGTTCATGGTAGTCGACCTATATAAGGTCACCCCAGCCACACCTGAACCTATTCACTGGAGCAGTTGTGCCTTAATTGTGCCAGGAATGCTTAGATAAACCATTGATTTGTCCAGCCAAATCAAAGCGTATGGACATCGGGGCTGGCTATGATACTTTACGTCATAACTTGAATCGTTTTCGTAGTGTTGGCAACCAGCCAGTACCTGTTGAACTAGATAGGCTAGATGAAGGTGATGGTATTTCAAGCACACTGAGACATAGGTCCTAATCATACCAAATAGTACGCATCATGATCATGCAGCTTCGAGTGTTCTTCCTGAGTCGCACTGCCAGGATTAAACAGATTTATCCTTACAATCGACTTACAGATTTATCCAAGCTACAGGCTCCGCAGAGGTGTTCCTTTAGATTACAAATGTTTTTTTCTGTGACAATGTTGGAAAGGAAACTTAATTGCACCCGTAGCTTCATTATCGATGGCATTTGTTAGTCGATAGGCACACGGTACCACAGGCACTTGGGGCGTTTCAAGACAATATAATGCTAAATAAATACGAAATCTATTTACTACCAAAGTCTTAATGTTTCTCTACTCTATTTCGCCTATAATCACCTTTAAATTCCGGCCAAATGCTCATCTGCAACACACAAGTACACGGCATGCTAGCTGCTGCACACTGACACATAAATATATATATTTATGTGTCAGTGTGCA